TACTCTTAATACTGTCTGGCATCTCACTGTACCCATATACACGAGTTCCATCAAGATAATCTCTTATGCACGGGATTCTCGGTCTCTTTGGTCTGCTACAGAATATACCGGTAGTCTTTTTTCTCCTCCCCATGTCTCACTGTCAAAAGAAAAGTTACAAGGATTAGATCATTGGCATTGAAATATATTAGCACTTGAATGGTATACATTCTACTTGGCTAATATCTATTCACTAGATATAACACTACTAGTATTCTACAGTCTACTATTGTTTCACTTGATACAGTCACTCTGGTCTTCTTCAGTAGACTGACCCAGTGAAGTGTGTCACGTGACTTCTTTGAAGCGTGACGTCAGCACTGGATCAAAAGTATCAGGTATCTGGTAGGCGATAGCGGCCCCCGTCACGGTTGAGTGAAGGGTGATGGGCCCTGATGTAAATAGCATATTTCACCCCTCTCAGGAAATTTGTTTTGTTCAGATACCCATGACCCAGTGTTGACGTCACACTTCAAAGAAGCCATGTGACAATTCTCACTTAGTCAGTCTACTGAGGAGTGTAACAGTGTTCTTCACTGCTTCCCAGGTGTCACGAAGGTCTAGGCGGATTCACCGTCAATCCTAGTCCGACGCGTTAGCCGCACTCTCACTACGCTAACTAGACTAAAAAATAAAGCCACAGCAAGTAAATTTTATGGATGACATCCTCTGCAGACTCCAAATCTAATGCGAGCGGGCGATAAAAAACAAGGCGGGCCGAAAAAAACAAGGTTCTTACATTTTAAAATTTTGCCTCAATCATTGTACAAATGTTTTTTATTCAGTAGGAGCATCACATATACACAGCCACCATCACATATCACTGCATCAAAGTAAGAAACAAAACATTAAATCTGAGCCTTTTCTTGTTTCCTCTCTTTGTAGTTATCTGCTATCCACCTTCCGGCATGGCAAAAGACATCTTTGCCCATTTTCGGCATGGTGACCACTGTCAGAAGGCAACAAATTTTTTTTTTTCAAAATCAACAAATTTTTTTTTTTCAAAATCAGGCGAAAATTAATGCGCGCGGATGTCATCCATAAACATTACTTGCTGTGGCCTAAGGACCAACACAAGCCACGGGATTCGATGTACCACCGGAAGGTTTATTCACTCAATTCCGAACCTAGCACAGGTTGGCACAAGCTAAGAGGACAGCAGGTTCTAACAGTTCTATAAGTGCATATACGAGCGTAACAGTAGCGACACAGTATCAATACTATCATCAACTCATATCTCATATGGAAAGGGACTAGCTGATTCTTACGGAATGCTGCACATAAAAACCCTGGCCTGGCTGAAACTACTACACAAATATTACCCAGAAAGTTACCACATACCTAATCAGGAGTGACGGGTTGGCTTCGATCTACAAGGGTAGTAGGCCCGCTAATATAGACTCATAGGACCATTACAATCTAGTCTAACTCCTGGCCGGAGCAGACGGATGCTTCGGACCCGGGTGACCGGACGACGCCTTGGTCTCTCTCTCTTCTCTCTCTCGACTCGACTCCTCGAAGATGGGAGAGACCAAGCTATACATCCAAGATCTTTACATGATTGGCAGTAGGTGATCAGTTTGAGAACGTACTCCTGATTGGTTGGAAGTAAATGCAAATGACCCAAACCGGTTCTAGCCGGCGGGCTACCTCGCAGAAAGTGGTTCTCAAACCTACAGGGAATTTTGGACGTCAATAGTTAACTGGGTCAACATCCGGAGTCTCCAGGCCCAGAGACTGTACTGTTACAACTATCCCCCCTCAACGCAAAGAGGCGTCCTCGCCTCGAAAAGTACGACCAGTTTACAAAAAAAAAGGACTACCACTAAGAATATAATTCAAAACAGTGGGTAAATATACAGTGAACGTGGAGAACACGTGGTAAATACTTACTACACGTTCTGTTAGCGAAAACATAAGTATGAACAAAGGGTTAAGAAAAAAAATTGAAACTTAATTAGTCGGCCTTCAACAACGAGAAATACCTATATAGGGATGTGCTGCGCGAACAACAATTAAACATTACAAAACGACCTTTCATGCCACGACGTAAAGATAATACAAGGATACAGATAGTGACAGATAAAATACGGATAACGGATAACAAAGACGTTTACAATACAAACCGCTTTACGAATAGCGGCAAACAATCTAGCTTACAAAGGCAGTGCACAGTGCCCAGAAACAACTCGAGATACATAGCAAAAAAAATGACATCACTTATCCTTATTCTACTACCATAACGGCCATGACCATGTAAGGGGCGTACCAGCGACGGCTGGAGAGAAGGATTCGCTCAAGGCCGGACGCTGCTTTGGTGGCCCGTATTACAGAGAAGAGGGTAGGGGGGACTAGCAGTGAAAAACACGCGGCTCCTCAAAAAAGAAGCAAGGTCAACCCCAATAGGACCTGCACTAATGACCTCCATGGAGCTACCCCCATGGAGGTAATTAGTGCAGACCCCTCTCGGTCAACCCCCAGCAACATCTCGAAATCTTCAGTACTTGGAAAGGCTCGTTCTTATCCACTAAAATCATAGACCGCCCTTATCCTCACTTTGGGATCAGCCACGCGTCTATAACATAACATGATATGAATTGAGATGGCTTGTACTAGTTAGTGTGAACAATTTTGTTATTTTTGTGTGATCATGATTTGGGCGTAGTCTCCACCAGACTTCTTTTGCGAGGTGAATAAATCGTAGAAATCGGCCTAAAAAGGGTATTAATTGGCCAGAGGCCAGAGAAGGTAGCCGGCAAGAGAAGCTCCATTTCCCCGCTTGACTCCGTGGGTCGCAAATTGGAGCTTCTATGGCCCTGGATCTTCTCTGGTATACTATCCCTTTATTTCGGCCAATTTCTACTATTTTTCCAGCGATCGCGGTGCCTGGTAGAGGCTAGAAGGGCCGCAGAATCGCGCTATGGAAGGTGCCTTGGCAGCGCGCTGTGGAAGGTTCAGTCATTCATGTAAAAGTTACATGTAATACTATAAATAAATATTAATATAGAATAGTCACAAGTCTGAAGACAAAACACTCCTCAGTTGTAAAGGCTTTTAAATTAATAATACAACAGTTACATGTAAGACAGTCTGATAGGATTACATATAATAGATTCTGGTGTAAGTTGAATATTACTAATGATTTGATGAGAATAATGTAGTCAGGAGGATCTATTCCTAAAATCATTTTACTGGTTTGGTTGTATTCATTCAAAAAGTCATGATTAATATTTTGTGTTTTGTTTTTTCTTTCTCATAAAAAGCTAATGTTTCGAAACATGATGGAAAGTTTTGTTACCTCTTGTTTTGTATGTGGTGTTTATGAAGTCTTTGTATTGCCAGTGTTTGTGTGTGTGTGTGTATGGTGTGTGTTTGTGTGTGTGTTTGAGTGTTTGTGTGTGTGTTGTGTGTGTAGTGTGCGTGCGAGTTTGAGTGTGTGTGTGTGTGAGTGTGTGTGTGTGTGTGTGTGTGTGTGTGTGTGTGTGTGTGTGTGTGTGTGTGTGTGTGTGTGTGTGTGTGTGTGTGTGTGTGTGTGTGTGTGTGTGTGCGAGTGTGTGTGTGTGCGTGCGTGCGTGCGTGCGTGTGTGCGTGCGAGTGTGTGTGCGTGTGCGTGCGAGTGTGTGTGCGTGTGCGTGCGAGTGTGTGTATGTGTGTGTGTGTGATTGTGTGTCTCTGGATACCGAGGTATTTCACTACACAACTAACCTGTAACAGCCCAAAATTTTCACATTTTTTCATGTACCATCCAGTAGTACTTTTACATTGTTTCTAGCAATAGCCCACATTCAGGTTAATGTTTAACCATCCTATTCAATGTAGGTAAGCAAACCATGCCATAAAGGCGTAAAAAGAAGAACTTAAAGGTTCAAGTGGTTCAAGAGTGACTGGGTTAGTCACTGCTGTTTCTCACATAGCACTAGGTGTAACCACACAGCTATCCTATAGGCACAATACTAAGACCCAGAGAAGATCTCCAAGCCTTTAAGGAAGTAGAGAAGATCCACAAGTTTTCCTGGCAAGAAAGTGTCCAGAAGACCAGGGTCCAGCTTGCTTTGAAAGGTTAGTTTTATATGTGAACTTAGTAGAAATTTTGTAATGATGGTAAACATTACACACAAGTATTGACCTCTGTAAGCTATTTTGTTACATTGATCTTTAAAGTTTAGCCTTGGGGTAAAAGAAGGACCTTCTTATGATAATTTATGAATTGGAAACTTGAATTTTACATGGGCACTTGTAACAACATCATGTCGAAAATGATAGCTCACTTTCAAAAGTCTTCCTTCCTCATAATATAACATGGGAATGCTGCATTTTTGCTACAGTGTAACAGTTGCTGCAGTTCAATAACAATAACTCATAATGGATCATCACTTCCAGGTCTGACGGCCCAAGTGCAGTCTTGCATCGATTTTTACAACAGTATTGGGGTGAGATTGATCCTTTTATGCACAAAGTACAAACTCAATTTTTTTCTTTTGAAGATTAGTTTTGTGTTGAAAAGGGTTAAAAAATGTATAATGATGTAAGTATGTATGCAATGAATAGTGTCCGTCTATGTATACACGTACATGTATGTCACGTCTTACATCTTGTACCAGTACAGGTGCACCATGATGTTTAAGAACCCAGCAGGTGTGCTGATGTTCCTCCTGGTCATCCTTAAGGCGTTGGGGACAACAGAATCCTGCAGGTGTGACTTTGACTATTTCTGCTTCTGCAGCAGACAGAACCTCACCAGCATTCCTCAGGACCTGCCGACAACCATCGTTTACTTGCATTTGGGATATAATCGAATCACAAATTTAAGTCAGTCTGATTTCTCACATTATTGGTGGTTAAGAGCTGTAGAGCTTCAGGGGAACCACATCTCTACCATCAATAGCCAGGCATTCCATCACCTGTCCTACCTGACCCTTTTAGATCTCTCCCAAAACCGCCTCACAAGCCTCGGATCTGACATGTTCACAGGGCCAGAATTCTTGGAGACCCTACGTCTGTCGGATAATGAAATCACTGATATTCAGAATGGAACTTTCAATCCAACGCCACATCTAAGGTACCTAAACCTAGAGAACAACCATATTCAAGCAATTCCCAACAACTTACTTGTTAATTTAACGTTTCTAAGCAGCCTCAGATTGTCTAACAACACCATCACAATGTTTCCCTTTGAAGAGTTGTCAAGAAATCAAATTTCTACTCTTTACCTTGACAACAACCAAATGACAACTCTTCCCTCTCTGGCCTATGACATACTCACAACCATCTCTGACATAAACATTGACAACAACCCCTGGCAGTGTGACTGTAGAATGGTTGAGTTCAGGTTGAAAATGACAGGGTCTTACCCATTTGAAAACCAGATAAATTGTTCCCAACCTGAACACCTCAATGGGCAAAAGCTTATAGATATCAGCCCTGACGATATGATGTCAAGTGGCATACTTCCAACAATTGCGAGGTTTGAGAGAGTTGACAACATGACTATGTATCATGGAGATACACTGTATTTCGTTTGTGAAGCATCAGGAATCCCCACACCAGACATCACAGTCATTCTCCCATCTGGACTGAACGCTACACTAGATGCAAATGGTACCATCACCATCACCAATGTTACAGCAGCAGATGCTGGTCTGTATGTCTGTATTGCTGTAAACCCAGCTGGCTCCACTTTTGCCACCATGGTCATAGATCTACAGACAGTCCCCACAACTGTTTCAACACCTTTAAACAGCCAAGAAAGCAACACTTACTATGAATCTACAACCTCTTTCTCTTCACATGTTTCCGTTGTCCCATCACCTTCAAAACAACCTTCCCCCAGTTTCTCCCTGCCTATACTCCTTGGTGCTGTCTGTGGTTCGGTAGCCGGTACCCTTCTCATCGGAGGCATCATTCTTGCTTTCTGGTGCACGAGAAACAACCAGGGTCCTCCGAAACGCCCAGACTTCAGCGTTGTTTTTAACAACACCAACACCACAGCTACTGTGATAACCAATGGGCAGGATCTGACAACTCAAGCCCAATCTACATGTATTAGACTATCCTCGGATGTCAGAAACCCACATCTCATCCCACAGCCACCCTCCTCCCAGTTTGAGCCTTATGAAAATGTGCAGCCTCCTCCAACAGGTGCAGTTCTGATGCAAACTGCTAGAGGTCTCTCCTCGTATGTCAGAAACCCCCATCTCGTCCCACGGCCAGCTTCCTTCCAGTTTGAACCTTATGAAGATGTGCAGCCTCCTCCAAGAGGTGCAGTTCCAAGCCAAACCGCCAGTAGTAGAGGGCAGGCCCTCCGACCACCTGTCAGAAGCAACAATGAACCTCCCCCAGTCCCCCCTCCCCGCACAGCCAGTGCTACTGGGTATGACAATATCCCTGAGCACACCTACCAAACTTTGACAACGAGCAGGAATCGGCCTGACAATGGAGATGACACTTCACATCACTACCAGTCACTTAGAAGGACATAAACAGATTCTGAAAGTTTTTAACAACCAAAAGATTTAATTCCCACACTTAAGATAAAAAAACCAATTAGACAAACAACCAGCCTGAATGTCAAAACACTCTCAGCTCGTACATCCTTTATATATATTATATAAAGAGATAAATGTAAGACAGTCACTCAGAAGGACCTAACGTTACATGTAAATAGATTCTGAAAATTTTCAAAACTCCTACCCTTAAATTAAGATTAAAAATAATACTTATAGTAATAATAATAAGACAAAATAAACAACCAGCCTGAATGTCACAGAGTTATGTTTAAGATACAGTCATTTACATAATAGATACATGTAATAACTATAAATACTAAATATTAATATAGAATAGTCTCATGTAATTATGTAGTCTGAAGACAAAACACTCGGTTGTTAAGGGTTTATACAATGTTATATATTATAGTATTAATAATTACAGATACATGTAAGACAGTCTGATAGGATTACATATAATAGATTCTGGTGTAAGTTGAATATTACTAATGATTTGATGAGAATAATGTAGTCAGGAGGATCTATTCCTAAAATCATTTTACTGGTTTGGTTGTATTCATTCAGAGTACAGTTAATGATTTGAAAAAAAAAAGTAACATTTTAATTTCAAAAAATAGAATCTGATAAATTGTAAAAAGTCATGATTAACATTTTGTGTTTTGTTTCTCATAGAAAGCTAATATTTCTAAACATGATGAAAAGTTTTGTTTAGACCTATTGTTTTGTATGTCACCTGGTGTTTATGAAATCTTTGTATTGTCAGTGTGTGTGTGCTCTGTGTTTGTTTGTGTGTGTGTGTGTATGTGTGTGTGTGTAGTATGTGGGTGTGTGTGCATGTGTGTGTGTGCTTGTGTGTTTTGTGTGTGTGTGTGTGCGTGTCTGTGTGTGCATGTGTGTTTGTGTGTGTATTTTGTATGTGTGTGTTTGTGTGTGCATTTTTGTGTATGTGTGTGGGGGCCAGTGAATACATGTAATATGTTTACATGGCATGTTCTTTATGTACATTATATGTGTGAACAAGTCAACATATTAACCGAGAAAGGTGAGAAGGAATTCTGTCTCTGAATACCGGGGTAGCTCCACCCCCCCTTGCTATTCCAAACAACGTGTTTTTCTGGACCATTCCAATTTGCCTCACAATTGTAGGGGTGCATCTGCAATATTACATTGACCGCGAAAGCAGCAACGGCAAAAATACACATTCGTGCATCATCCATAGACGGCGTATAAAATTGCGTGCCAATAACACAAAGAGAACCCAGTGTTTTGACTGCGAACACGAAAAAACAGCTCTTCACAACACTCCGTCCGGAGGTCCTGACCTCCTTCACGGAGTAATAATAGAATCTAGTCTCCATAACACACCTTTGTGATCAAGTATAACAGCTCTATTGCTGACTATGGCATGTAGTAGAAAAAACACCTGACGTCGCCTAAATACATTACAGGCAGTAGGCTACCTCGTTTTTGTTGAATTATTGTTTTGTAAACTATTTTACAACATACACTGTCTACTCAATCAGTCTGTTGCCCGATCACAACACACCAAACTCGGTCTGTTGAAAGATTTCTGAGAATCATAATTACATACACTGAACAAATACTGTGAACTTGGTCCACAACCTGAGGTAAGATATCAGCTAGTAATTTGGGCCTATGACCTAAGATTTCCCATGTTTTCTTCCTTGATTTCCTAGACCCGGTGACTTTTGTGGTTGAGGGAAGGTTCTGAATATATGACGGGTTTTAAGCCGAAGGGCAGTTATACCAACTATACAAATACAGATACAGGTGTTTGGAAGTTTAATATACATACAGTGATCATATTTGTACACACAATATCCTTGTTGAAGACTTTTACAAGAGCAATAATTTTCTAATTTACTATTAAACATAGTCACCAGTCCCTGTTTTACATAAAATGCTCTCTGTACACAATCATGAGTCACATTGGTGTGCGACAACACAGAAATTTACACACTTAGTTTATGAAGCAAACATATACATGTAAAATATCATAACATTCAACACAATTATTTAAAGCCAACTTTCATCAGCCATTGTACATCATGCAATGGCAAATCCATATACATTGTATGATGTTACATACATACTGTAACTGTTAGAGAGACAGTGAGACACATGCATTGACAGATGGATAGATCTATATTAAACAACTCAAAACAAATGCTACAATTCAGTTTCAAGGCCGCCAATACTTTCAAATATGAAATTAATCAACCTGCAGTCTTCTACTATTACTAGTACTACTACAGTACCTGTCAAGGCATTGGATGATACAGTTAATATGTAACTGTGTAATATACACATTCAGTCATATCCTCCCTACAGCCAGTCACTGAACATGCAAGTCAGGACCTGTCTCCCTTTGAGTGGGTGTGGCCTAAACAAAGATGTTCTGAGAGAACAGAGCATCCCTTAAGTCCCAAAGGACCCACCAACATTATCTATATGATAGACAATAATGCTTGGTAGAGAAGGGCATGAAGTAGCTTGTATACTGACTGTATTTTTCAGTGTACATGTTATACTTTGTTCCTTTTCTACTACCATGCAGTAGGCAAAGTTCTGTCTATATTTTACAATCTGTGTTTCTTGTCCATTCCTATTTTCAGTTGGTATTTAAAGATCTGCCTGTGATGGAAGCCTTGGTGTATTAAGTCTATTTTGCAGTGTTCCTTGTCCTTTTTCTACTTCCGTGGTGGTCAGTGGTCTGCCAATGATAGAAGACTAGGTCTCTCCTCTGTCTGTATTTTGTAGACAAGTGCTGCTTGCCCCTTTCAAAGTTTCATATATTCCACGTGGTAGGCAGAGGCCTGTCTGTATTTTGCAGTGCTCCTTGTCTCATTCCTACCTCCATGTAGTTGGTGGAGGTCTCCAAGTGTGATAGAAGACATTGTGTCTCTCAGTCTATTCTGTCTGTATTTTGTAGTGTTACCTGTGCCTATCCTATGATCCTATGTCTAGGTGGTAGACACAGGCTTGCAATTTGAAGTACTAAGTATTCCTTGTCTCATTCCTATTTTTAATGAGACAAGATGGTCTTGCATTCTGTAGTATTGTTAATGTAGTTGGTGGAGGTCTCCCTGTGACAGACTTGGTGCCTCTATTCTGCCTGCATTTTGTAGTCAAGTCTACATGTACTTCCATGTGGTTGGCAGAAGGTCTGCCAGGAAAAGAAGACTTGGTGCCTCCATTCTGCCTCTATTCTGTAGTGTTGTGTGTCTCATCCCTACTTCCATGTTGTTGGTGGAGGCCTCCCAGTGAAGGAAGACTTGGTGTCCCTGCCCCGGCTGCCCACACTCACCCCCAGCCGACTCTTGGTGTCCCTCTCCAGGATGTCTGCCTGTGCCAGGTCCTCATCATACCTACACAACGTTGGGCAATGTTATAGAGTACAGGTCTATAAGTACAATCATAATGTCGATGAAGGTTAGACATCCAGGTAATAATATACGCCAAAAAGCAGTTAGTAGTAATACTCAAGCAACTGGATATGAAATTCCAAAATCATATCCAGTTGCTTGAGTAACTGCTTTTTGGTGTATATAACGGTTATTACAAAAATAATATATATTAAGATAACGAGTAAAATTGCCCTGATAAAGATGACAGACAGTTGAACAAGTGGCTGTGAATAAAGCTTTTCAAATATTGAAGTATAGTTTTTCCCTTTAAGTATAGTCATTCCCTTGGTGCTGCTGTAAATGCAATTAAAAATCTTGCACCTGAATATTGTTTGGAACAAGTAACTTAATTAGTTATTTAGTGGAAAATATAAAATATTTAGTTAGTTTTTTTAATGAAAAATATAAATGACTGTAGTGTGTTGTTTGTACTTTTAATATAAGTTTACTACCATTGTATACTTACAGTAGGTCAAAGTTTCCTAGAGCCTCCTTTGGGGGAACTTTGTTCCACCTCACACTGTTAACAGATACAGGAAGATGATATTAGAAACTATTATTAATAGCACATTACCCTTCATTAACTTATGGGGACCTAAGTTCCAAACATAAGATAACAAGTCACAATTGCCCTGATAAAGAAAATGACAGACAGTTGAACAAGTGGCTGTGAATACAGAACTTCAAGCTTTTCAATCATTCACCAACTTGATGGAATTATTTACAGATAAAGGATGTATGAATTTGTCAGAGTGGTTTGGGATGTTTTCATCTAAGGCCACACCAACTTAATTTTATGGATGACATCCTCTGAAGACCACCAAACTAGTGCGCGTGGGCGAATAAAAAAAAATTCTGGCCAAAAACAAAATGCAACTAAGCCACAGGAATGCAAAGCTGTTGTTGTGAATTTGCGGCAGTACTTAGCGATGTACTAGTATACCACAAGCCGGCACATGCTGGCTTTTTGTGGAAATTGTAATTCGGCACTGTAGGCATGAACTGAGTTCTTGAGTCGTGGAGCTTCGGCAGCCTGAGTGCCATCCTGCAGAGTTCCATCCACCGGCTCCGTATTGTCGCTATCTACGATGGACTAGAGCCTCGGAGGACGTGATATTTTTTTTTTGTTGAGAACAGGCGAAAATCAATGCGCGCGCGGATGTCATCCATAAAATTAAGGTGGTGTGACCTAATTCAGTACAATGGCATCGATGTACATGTATCTGACAAATACTAAATAGTGCTAGACATTATAAATGAATAATATATATATATATATATATATATATATATATTTGCAGATCCTTCTCTATTTTTACCACTACAGATGTACCAGTAAAGATCTGAGGCTTACTCAGGCAGTTCCCCGTTAGGCATGACGATGTTGAGAGAGTCGTTAATGAGGTTGTACTTCATGATGCGGTCTGCTGCAGTAGTGGAGGTGAGGGAGGGGGAGGCATTCACCTGGGAGGGAAGAGAAGCAGTGCATATCAGTATGGGGGGACCAGGGCTCTAGCCTGTGCCTGTTTTACTGTCAGAACTTTGTGGTGTGTGACAGCAAAATGTTTCAACCAATCTGTCAAGCTTGATGGACAAAATCGACAAAAATCTTGGGCAAAAGTATAAAACACTCTCAACGACATAATTTGCCTCTCAAAATTCAGGAAATTGCATTAATTTCAAAAGCTTCAAAATCCAAAATTTCCTGGGGGGGGGGGGGGGGCTGCCTCCTCACTAGATCTGAACAAGAACCTGGGCTGATTGGAAAAAAAAATTCAAGAATCTGGGATAGAGCCCTGTGGAGATAAAATACATTCGTTCATAGGACTTTTTTGAGATTAATCAATTGAAAATCAATTTCAGGACTTGACTTACTGATAGAAACTTGACAAATCTAACATCATAGGTGAAGCCAAGCAAACTGACCTTTTTTCCCTTTTTGTTCAAATACCAGTAAATGGTAACTAATATGTAGCTTTTTTTATTAATTTGAATTTGATGCTTTAAAAAAAAGACCAACCTCAATCAGCCATGGCTTCAAGTTGTTGTCTATGATGATGTCATATCTGAAAAAAAACAGTAAGAATCAAGAAATTATCATTATACCAAATTTGTGTCAAAAACGATTCACAACAATGCACTGCACAAAACTATTATTAAGGATATACTCGCTGTTAGAAAAAGTACATGTAGTAACTTACCCATAACACTCAAAACAGTGTCTGTCATTAGCCATCACACCCTGTGGACACAGATCTAGGCTTTTTAAAATCATTTGACACTGTTTGGTGTTCACCACTGTCAACATCCTGAAATATGGTCAACATGAACTTATTCTGCATTTAACTGAAACACAGTCAGGTGTACCATTCCTTATTAGACTTTAGACTACACAACATGTACATGTAGACAACCACTACAATGCCCTTTTCTAACTAGCTGTAAGGCCACACCAATTTAATTTCTTGGTTAACGGCTTTGCCCGCTTCATTTTTTTCTGATATGCAAAAAAAAAAAAAAAATTAAGAATCAACTGCAAAATGCTCATATTTTGCCCTGAACAGTTGAAAACAGTCCTTTTCTTCCTAGTTGTTACAGTTATTCCATCTTTCAATGCAATGGTATTATTCAAAGTTCAAAATTCATTGTTTAAATTTTGAACCAGCCTGGTGTGTTGACTTCATGGCTCCTATCGTACCATTTTGGGGCCATAATAGGATGCCTAGGCCTGTTTTTATTTTTATTTATTTTTCGCCCGCCCGCTCCGTTTATTTTTCTAGAAAAATCCATTAACCAAGAAATAGAATTGGTGTGGCCTTACAATGCCCTTTTCTAACTAGCTGTAAAGAAGAGACTCACTGAGACGGCCTTGAGAGAGTGGACTGTCAACCAGTTGATGTCATCAAACAACTTGTCTGTCACCTATTGGAATAAACCATAATAATTATTAAAGCAAACACACTGAAGCTGATGTTTGTATTTTCATTTGTGTAAGCAATAGTAAAAACATGATCCACAACATATATACACAATGTTTATTTTGCTCATCTAGATATGAGATATACTTTAGCCAAAGAAGAAAGGTCCATATTAAGAATGGTGGTAGATGAATTGGGAGTAACTGTGTAAGATACAAACCTCTTTCCCTCGTGTCCCTTCCAGAAATAGTCTCATGTTCTTGATGGTCCATTTTCCCCCGTGGACATTGTTGTATTCATCCTGGTAGAACAGAAAAATACAATTATTCTAAAACAGTCCAAATATATACATGTTGTGAAATTTCTCACAAAAAAAAAAGAATGAAATCAACTAAATCTTTCCATTTCCATGCACTCCAGCACCTTCACCGTTATAGAGCCATGTAGGTGTTACATGCTAAGTGTTAGCTACATGCAATGTACACCACACAGCAATTCTTCCATGAACTGCAGACAAGAGACCTTCTTAACATCTGTTCCTAGAGGAGGGCCTGCATGGGTAGTGATTAGGAATTACACAAAATTATTTTCTGCCACCAATTACAAATTAAGTCTCATAGCTGATTACGACTTTACTGTTTGCAGCTTATGTACTATTACTATAAGACTATTAACAGATTACATTGATTTTTTGGGAGGTTGCCTACTGATTACAAAGACTAAAAGGCCTGATTACGCCTTGCGAAAAAGGGCATGCAGGCCCCCACTTACTAGTATCAACAATCCTGAGTAGAAACCAGACCACACTGTCTGTAATTTACTACGTCTACAGCTCTACTTTACAAGTACAGACTGAAAGTTGGTGTATTATGTCCTGACCCCATGTTTCTGTATGGACACGTTGGTGAGGTGGATAAACATGTTGTCCAGTTCACTGGTGCTTGACGTATACTTCACGGTGCAAAACCGACAGAACCCCAGGCGGTACCTGAAAATTAATCAGTCAATCAATCAATTAATCAATTGACCGATTGATCA